TGGTAGCAGACTCCTTTCCTAGAGTGAATTTCACCTATCTCAGTCTTTGTAATTCAGTTAAAGTTAAAACCTTCAGGATGATCTTAGGTTTTGTTTTTTACTCTGTTAATGGGGGCCAGAAAATGGAGAGTTAAATCTGATTGTAAAGGAATACTCTTTGAGGCCTGGCTTTTAAAAAAGACAGTACATTGTCCTTGCAAATGGGGAACTGAGGGAATGAAGTTACTGTGTCAAATATTTGACTTTTTCATGTTTATTTCTCTATATGCTCTTGCCTCATGAGAGGTATTTTTAATGTACAGATGAACTCATCCTCCTCAACACTATTCTTTGTCATAAAACTAAACATCAAAGATGCTATATATGCTGAAATGCTCTCTGCCTGGGGATTAAAATTGAGTGTTTTCCATTATTGTATAATATAGGGAAAGTCTGCAAATATTAAAACCCGAGACAGGGTCAATTTAACAAATTTATACATAATGTGTTTTCTGTCAATGTATATTAAAGGCTCATAATGACAGTGTTTGATAAGGTATTTACCAAAGGGGAAGAAAACCTTACAGAATCTTTGAAATCTCTTTGATGAGGGGCTAGATGATTTAGAGGAGGAGAACAGGATACAGAACTAGGACACTAGTTCAAATGTGTCCCAGGTTGATAGTAGCTGAAGGGCTTTACCAATCTGAAGGCTGTTCAGTGGCATATGTGAAAAGAGTTAGACTCATTCCTGCTTCTAGTACACAAGAATCCACTGCAAATTAGCACTAAGTTGTAGTAGGAGACAAGCATTGAGTGGGGATGAGCTTGTCGCACACAGTACAAGACAAGGACTGAGTGGGGATGGAGTAAAAACTAGCCTGTCAGTCGCAGAAATGGTTCCTCCAGAGACCTGACCCAAAGCCCTTTGAAGTCCATGGAATGAGAATCTTTCCACTGACTTCAGTGGGCTATGGATCAGGCCCCAGGTGAAGGTTCAAGCACATTGATGTTGTGGTGCATGAGCCATCTTAGCCGGTGGAGTTCAGGTCTGTCCTTCAGATGCACTAAATTCTCTAAACTTAAAGTCTAAGGGGCAGATCCTCCTCTTGCACCAGTGTAAATCAGAAGTAGCTCTTTTGCAGTCAGTGGAGTTATATTAGTAGTGTAAGGCAAAGATGAATCAGGAGGACATGTGTGATATGTCTGCAGACTGTGATCCATGGAACTGCTCATAGCTGGGCGGGCTCTTGCAAAGCCTCAGAGCTCTGTCCAGAACACTAATGCACATCTGAAAACTGATCCCACCAGCTGGCAGTTTGTCTCCTCACACTCAGGCTTCCCTAAAGTTATGTATGGGAGCAGGGAACAAAGTGGTATGTGGGAGTCATTTTTCATTCCCTAGTCTCCCATCAGAGACAACATTAGGCTGTGGTGAGACCTTGTTGTACTTTATCATCCTGTCTGGTATTTGGTTCCTTCTTAAGTAGAAATTAAATATCTTTTTGGTGTTGTCTTATTTGGTTTATTGTTAAAAACAAAAAAATGTAGAATCAAATTTGAGACTGTTTGAACCTCTTATGAGAGATGACAGGATAATTTGTCCATGTATTCTGATGAAATTATTCACTCTGATCTAGTTTTCATTGTAGCCAGTCATGGAAGAATATTGGTTTGGATACTAGGGGTAATAGGACCCATATTTTTGGCAGTCAGCCATCAGAACCATGTATAAACTACACTGGAGGCACTTGAAGTACGTCTACAAGCTGGTAGGGGACATGCAGAAGTCATTTTATGAGGTAATTTTGAAATAGATTAGCCAAAATTTCAATTTTATGACTGGAAAGTTGGAACTGAGCCAAGTCGTAAATGAATCAATTAGGTGTAATTATCTAGATATTAAAACCCTCGTATTGATTGGATTTTTTTTCTTTGTAAATGACCTGGAAGAGTGAAATATAACTGGTCAGATGGTGGCTGGAATCCATAATCATTGTGCAACTGACTGTAATTGGAAAAGTAAAATGAAAACATTGGAGAAAGTGACTAATGTTAATTTTGGCACACGCTGTTTATTCATGAGGAAAAGCAGGAGAAACTGCCTTTCATGTACAAAATGGAGTTAGCCTGGGAATATTTTAGGAGTGTATTGGTTGAAATCGATCATAAACATGTGGTTCTGACTGGTTCTGTAGGATTAAGCTGGGTAAGCAAATGACTAGTCTGCCAGGTTTCTGTGTTACTATCCAGTTATAATTGTGTATAAGGTAAAAAGAAAAGGAGTACTTGTGGGACCTTAGAGACTAACAAATTTATTTGAGCATAAACTGTAGCTCCTTTTCTTTTTTGCGAAAGTAACACGGCTGCTACTCTGAAACCTGTGTTTAAGGTAGTAACCTTAGGATCATGTTAATGTTCTCTTTAGAGTAATGTCTTTCGGAAGACTCCATCACACCCAGATGCAGAGACCACACTTGTTTAATGCGGTAATTAGTTTCTTACCAGGTAGTTGTGGTTTCATAAAAATATTTTCATAATTTAAAATGGGCAACGCAGCAAAGTTTAATGTCATTTTCTCTTGTGTCTTTATTGGAAAGCTCTATAATCTAAGCACTTCATTTCAACGTTTTAAAACTTACATACCAGCAGCATCTGTCCCATTTTGGGGCAGCTTTTCTAAAAATTAAAACAGAAATAAATTAGGTTAAAATTCAAACCAATCTCAGAGGAAGAGAGGCATTTAAGGGATAAAGAATGGAGAATTAAGACAAGCTATGGTTTCAGCTGAACATTTAAATGAAGACGTGGACAGACATAGGAAGGCTGCAGAGAAGAAGTCTCTTGTACCAACCATGATGAGATTGTGTGGAGGAGCAGAGAAGAGACCAATACTAGATAAGTGGAGTGACTGACACAGTGAGGGATAAAGGCCAATGAATGTGGCTGGGGCAAGTCCATGGAGGGTTTTAATACTATGGGCCAAATGCGGAAGTCCTTCCTTAGGCGAAACTTTAAGAGTTAAAAGGTGAGCAAGGGGCTTGGTATGTGGACCAACAGCAATTTGAATTGGCTCCTGAATGAATGGATAGTCAGCGGAGCTGGCTAGGAATGGGGGTTTAAGTTGATTGCACTTCTTTGCACTTTTGAGCAGGTGGCAGAGGAATTCTGAGCATGCTGGAGTCAGACGCAGAGTAAGGAACTGCAGCAGCCAAGGTGCCAGGAGCTGGACGCACAGAGGGGGAAATGAGGCAGGGCATACCTGGGGAATGGTGCTGAAGAGGGCAGCAGCGGAAATGGAAAACAATCAGGCGGCATCTCCCTCTCCTCCCCCACTTCTGCCAATAGGGGTAATGAGATGAGGGCGGTTCGTGACTAGTTATCTGCCCTTCCCCCACATAATTGGTCTAGAGTGTGTGCACTGAGTGAGTCTCCACCCTCAGCAGCTTCTGAAACTGAACATTATTGAACAGCTCTTTGCTCTCCCACAGGTGTCAGTCTGTTTTATGCCACGGGCTGGGGGAATTTCTCCAGTAGTTCAGCTCTCCAGGGTTGGCTGCCTCCTTCCCTTCTGGCTCTTGTGACCTTGCAATTCATGCACCTTTTTTCTGCTCTCTTGTGCACAGGCATGGGTGAGAGATCAAAGAGTTCAAAAAAGAGAGCAGCCCAGGAAAAATATTTTGGGCGCCCTGAGGGACTGCCTGCTGCAGAGAGGTTCGGGAGGGGGCCGGGGCAGTAGGCTGAAACCAGAGTTTTTCCAATGTTGATCAGAGTGGGAACTGAGGTCAGGGCTCTTCAAGCCTTCAACCTCATTAGAGACTTGGTGCATTGGGGTCAAGGCTGCACTCTCGTAGTTCTAGCAAGGTTCCAGCCCTGGGAGCAGCAGAAGGTGGATTTCCAGCCTGCACTGAGCAGGTCCTCCCTGCCTCTCTTTCCAAGGACAAACCCAGATCTTAAAGAAAGTTCTCCCTTTGAGGTTACAAACCCACCTCAAAAAACATGAGGGACCCACAGGCTCCTCCTGTAAGCTGGGAAATCATCCTCCCATTCTAGCCCTGACCTTCTTTTCCTGTCTGGTATATACACTAGCGGGCTTGGTTGCCTGATGAGCTCCAGTTGCCTTGACCTCTTTAGAATCCAGCCACCAGGCATAGAAGAAGTAGGGGCTTCCCATGAGACTTGCCTTGGGTGTCCTCAGTCCCAACATCCACAGTCCTCTTGAGATCCATGTAATCCTATACGCCATCACCTAGAATCAGGAGATGAGGGGGGGAAGGGGTGTTGAAGGATGATGATCATGTTCCTGACAATCACAAGCCTGAGTCGAAGAGACAGATGGAGTTATATGTTCCTACAAAAAGCACAACTGTGTTTTAGTCATTTAGCTGAAGGATTATTTTAATATGATCAATCACACACTGAAATAATGGGGTTTGGTTTAAAGATATTTAGTATCAGTTTTGAATCTTTGGCTGTTTTAAGCAAAGAAATGACAAACAAGCCACCACTCTATGTAGCCTATACCCCTTGCTCTTTTCATCAGGAAATGAAATATCAGACAGTATATAAATTACAGACTATATCTCCTAGTAACCAATGTATTTTGGGTAAAGAGTTCATATACCATCTACTACAGATCCCCGGCTAACAGCTAATTAAAGCAGCATCTCATTGCGATGTGTCAAGGAAGCAGGAATTGTTACCACTAGAAGAGAAAATATTGATTTAAATATTCTTGAAAATGTTTTCTGTACATGGTCTGGCTGCAGAATACTTGAAGTAAGAGGCAAGGTACTGCAACAACAGTCACTAACGTCAACTATACTCCCTGAAGGACCTGACTTTTGTTGTACCAAAAAGATTTTTTTAAAAAAATCACAGTGTTCAGCAGTGGCCATTCTGGCTCACTGAGGAGTTTCCTACAGCTAGATGGAAGCCCTTGAACATGGATGGGGCGTGGTGTACTTGGGCTTTGAAATAAATACGGGAACTTTGTCTAAATGGCCTTTTAATTTTTTTAGGTGCACAAAGTCTTATTGACTCGTTGGATGATGTTTAACTGACAGCCTGGACCACATTCCACATTGTGAAATATACCTGGAGAAATGGAGAAAGCAGATGGTATGGAGACTGTTTTTACTTAAACGCTGTTGAATGGAACTCTTGTATCATTTAAAAAATATTAAACCAAGGTATTTTGTTTACACAGTAAATAATTCATGCTCTGCTCACTGTATGGAGACATGTTTTCCAACAATGAAAATAGGCAAGGTTTGTGCATAGTTCATGACACACACAATGCACTCTCATTTTGCTCTGATTTGTGATTACTGTATTGGAGAATAAGTATGATCATTCTATTGTTTACAGTGGAGTTTCAAGCACTGTGTATGGGGCTTTCAGAGAAGATCTTAAAGACAAAGGTCTTGTGTGTTCTGTATGGACGCTAAGGATTCCCTTCTACTTTTCATATGAGAAGTAGGGCTTTGCCTGGGTGTCACTTTACACTAAATTTTCCTTCCTCATTCCACTATTTCCAGTGTGCTGGCTTCCTCTGCAGTGGTGGCTGCATTTCAGTGGTGCTGTTTGTATAAAGGGCTTGGGGAAGCTTTGAGACGAAAGGGTCTATATCTTTGCCAAATTCTCACCAGTCCCTGCAAGACTGCTTCACAAGGGCAGTGGCAAAGAGAAGAATTCTCAAACATTTTCAGTCTTGGGTAACTATAGTTAGGCACCAATATCCCTATTTAAATCAGTGGCCTGATTTTCAGAGGTTCTTAGCAATCCTAACTCACCACAACTTCATGGGTTCACATTTCAAAATCAGGCCGTTTATTTTGTTCCTGAAATTGGATTATAGGTGCTTAACTTTAGACACCCTACTTTGAAATTTTGGGCCTATGAATTTCATGGGCTGTGGATTTTATTATTAGTTCTATCTATTCTATCAACTTGCCAAGCACCTTATATAGGACACAATGCTAGACCAAATAACCAGAATGAAGGACAGGGATGTGTCATCGGTACAGGAAGTTTAAATTGATATAGTGTTCTTTAGGGAAATACATAAATAAGTTACATTTTGTTCAGACACATCAGAAAGGTAAAATCATAAAAATGACTTACAGCCATGAAAATGAGAGCACACCAGATTTGAATGGGGCAGAGGTCAATTTGAGTCTAAGTTGAAAGATGTCCATCATTAGGAGAGACAATTGAAAAGTCTGATTTTAGCATCTACTTTCATGAGAGTTGCTGATATTCACTGTAAGGTTCTGTATTGACTGCTGCAACTCTGCATATTTGATTACATATGGAACAAATTGGCTGTTGTATATTTAACACATTCCAATATGCTGGATTTTCTTGAACTGAAGAATTAAAGACGTGCTCTTGGAAGAACATCCATGAACATTAGAAAGGGTTTTGTGGTTCTACACAGATTTACAGATATGACTACATGAAGCTGCACAGGTTAACCCTATCTGTGCCAGCCTTTTGTGCTGTACAAGCCTCAGGGCCTTGGCCAATGTTTTCAAAAGCAACTAGTGATTCTAGGTGCCTCATTTCTTCAGTGCACAGTTTGAAACACATTTAAAGTGCCTCAGATTGGACACCCAAACTGTGAGACATCCAAAATCACCAGTCACTTTTGAAAATTTCAACCCTGCCTTTTAGAGGTATTCTTTATTTTCAAAGGACAACTGGGGTGACAATGTTTGTCCATAGGGCCACCCAATGTCTCTTTGCCTGACTTGCAAAAAAACCCAAATGTAATTGTCATGAATAGTTTCCATCGTCTGGCTTATATCTGGATTTCTTATACACTAGGATTAGGATTTATTATATATCAGGAAGCTTTTTAATACTTAGACATATTTGTAGCTCAGCCTACCAAACCTGCTATTTACATAATTGCCAATTAAAATAATGATTTAGCGAATTCCAGTGCAACAATTACATGAGTCAGCTCCAGAAAACAAGATTATACATTTGCATGTGTTGCTCTGTGGCTATATCTCTAATCAGACTCAACATTAGCATTACAAATGACAAACTACAACCCATTCCTTCTCCCTTTCCCCTGCATAATGATTTAGGAAGGCAGCTGGCCTGCATTTCAGCATTTTGTGCATAGTGATGAGAGCCCTGATTCTCAGCTGTGCTACAGCTGCCTTTTGGCTCCTTCAGGCATTGGTAGTTGCTGAAAATTAGAGCAACCTTCAGACTGCTCTAACCTACCCCAGAGGACAGGATCAATGTACAGCCAGCCCTCGCTGTCCACGTACTCCACACTGCCTCCTCAGCCACAGCCAAGGATTGGGCCTGAGGAGTGGAAGATGAATGGGAGAGGTATAAAGCGGAGGCAAAATAAATCATTGCTGACCGCTTTTTTTCTGCTGCAAACATGGTTCGATTTTTTTTTTAATTCATTTATTTTTTAAAATTTAATGTCTCGTTTTATTTCAGCTGGCGATCAGCCATCAAAACCTGCTGAGGATAAAGATCAACCCAGAAGTCTCCCTTATTCTGTTGAAACACCATATGGCTTCCACTTAGACCTTGACTTTCTGAAATATGTGGATGACATTGAAAAAGGAAATACCATTAAAAGGGTTCACATTCACAGGAAGGCCAAGCAGCCAAAGTTCAGCACACTGCCTCGGAATTTCAGCCTGCCTGAAAATAGATCCCATGCATATGCTTCCTCCCCCAATAAGAGCTGGGCTGCAACCTGCTCATTTGCCCAGAGGAAGGCATCACTAGGGGCAGAAGAAACCACCTGTCTCATCACATCTTATGACTCACCACAATCCTTAACTGCAGAGGAGCCAAGTTATAGAAAAAAGGCCCTTTTAGCAGAGACAATCAGACAAGCAGAGGTCATCCACCATGAAGAAGAGCCTGGCAGCTGTAGAGGGAGGCCACAGCTGTTAAGGGCTTCCAGCATGCCAGCCAAACTTCTACCAAGTAAAAGTTCAGAAGAGGAAAGTCAGTGCTCCAAGCCTGCTCAGCCCTCAGCACTTTCTCAGCCTTGTGATGGAAAGAGCTTCACAGAAATTCCCTTTAGCCCTGCAAAGGAGTCACTGGATTCACACTATTCTGATCGTGTCACATTAAATTTCCCCAAAGAGCCAAGGAATGTGCAAGAGCAAATCAAAGTGGTGTTCTGGGAAAATGAGCAGCCTAAAGGACAACAGGTGAAAGCCATCTCTGAGCTGGGTCACCAACCCCCCGAGCTTCCTAGGGAGAGAATGCAAATCCAATCTCCACATCAAAGCCAGCATTCCGTAGCTCAAGAGCTGCTCCTGGTTACAGAAAGTGTAGGAGAGGAATGCTACGCACCAGAGACAAATAAATGTCCTGAATTAGTCAAGGATGAATCACTCTCATCAAATGCCCCCAAGTTTATGCATGAAAATGAGAACCGTGACATAACAGAATTAAACATAAGTGAGATCATGCCAAGTGCACCAGAGAAGACTGAAGTTCGAAGCATTTGGGCTAGAGCAAATGAGGAAAACTCAGATCTTGAACCTTTGCTTTGTGACACAGTAGATCCCAGCAGGATCACAGCGCTGAAACAACAGATCACTGTTCTGGAGGAGCAACTAAAGAGCAAAATAGAGGAACTTGAGCAGATCAGAGTAGTGCTGAAGCAGCAGGGTAGTGAGATCAAAGCAAAGGAGAGAAGCATTAAAATACTGGCAAGCGCCAAAGCTCAACTGGAAGAGAAGCTTTGTCAGGAAAACACCAAAGAAACGGAACCATCCAGGCAGGATGGAAATGTCCTGCAGTACCATGATGCTGCAGTGAACACTGAACTCATGCAAGGAAACGCATTTAAGGAGGCCTATGACAAGGGTGTCAATGTTAATATTCCAGTCGCTACAGAATCTGTAGGATGTGGTACCTATGGAGTGGACAACATGAACTTGCAGGTTAAGGAGTTAAGAAGAATGCCTGTTCATACGGATCAGGGGTTGGCAGATGTTCACACTGGTATCAGAGAGGAAGGGGCTGCACTTCTTGCCAAACAGAAAGGAACTGGAATTGACACTGAACCCCTTGTCTTTACACCATGCTTCACTGAGCTGAAGATAGATGAACAGATCAATGATGACTGTCAAAATCAAAGAAACAGCTATGACAGACAGTCTTGTGCTGCAAGCTCTCTGATTGGAGAAAGCTGTTCAAGAAGAGCTGACTCGAATGGAAATAAACCAGGTGGAAATAAACCAGTTTTTGCCAGGGATGTAAAGCAAGATCTGATTGAGGAGGAAAACCGTACAGAACAAGAAGATTCCTCTGCAGATGATCCCATAAGCCAATATGTTAAAAAAATCCAGGAGCTTTTGCAAGAGCAGTGGACGTGCTTGGAGCACGGATATCCAGAGTTAGCAAGCGCTATTAAACACCCTGCATCGAAGCTTAGTTCCATCCAGAATCAGATAGTTAATTCCTTAAACTTGCTGTTATCTGCCTATTCTACCCAAGCACCATCAGATAAGGAGAATTCGAATACGCAATATCAACAGTTGGGTAAATAACATTGGCACAGGTCTAAAAGTATCTGGGCCGATTCTCCTCTCACTTGCACCAGCATCAATCAGGAGAAACCTCGCTGAAGTCAATGGTGTTACATCAATGTAGAGCCAGTGTCAGTGAGATCAGAAACAGGCTCTTTGTGTTTCCTTAAGTATAGATGAGAGAGGTAATCTTTATAGCATGGTGTAACACTTGAAGTTTTACACACAATCTGAACTTTTCGAAGTTCCCTTATGCTACTGAGAGGGATTGGTCTGTCAGATAAAGTTGCTCATAGCTTTTCTTAATTGGGTTTTATGATTCTGCACTTCATTAGTGAACACATGGCCAGATCTTCATCTGGTGTAAATCAGCATTAACTTCAATAGAGCTATGCCAGTTCACACCAGGATGTGGACCATGGTATTTAAAAAGACCTGTGCCCTTTAAGATAAATAACTAATAAATATTCCATGTCAAATTAGGTTATTTTATTCTTTTGGGACCTGATCCTCATTTACATTGTTTCCTCTACACTGCCAGAGGGGGTATTAGTGTAATTGAATCCAAGGCTTCTATTTTCAAGCAATATAACATGAGAGGATGTGAATTCAGGTGCAGTAATTCATTTCTGTAGTGTTGTATAGAAGGCTGACACTAAGAATGTTACCAAGGACACTAGCATGAATTTCAATGACAACATCAATATCGAAAGTGCAAAAAGACCTAGTTAAGGGGTTGTAGCAGAACATTATTATACCAGTAAAGCCTACTTATATTAGGACAAGATGCAGATACTTACAAAGTCATTTATAGATGTGTGTCAGATCTCCATCCTTGTTTTAATGGTGGCAGCCCAGATCTCGACTATATACACCTGCCTCTGCAGTTCTGTAAGGTATATAAGGTCGTTCATAAGGTAACATGTAACAGAAACCTAAGATACCTAGATAAGTGTGACATAATTGTGCTTACGCTCTGTAGTTTGTTCCAGGCATACAATAAAGTTGAGACTAACAATTATGACAACATAGATACTTTCTTAATCTGTGATTTTGTATTTTGCTAGAAATCTCGCCAACCACAAGTCTTAAATCAATCATGAAAAAGAAAGGTTATGGTTTCCATGCAGGAGGTAATGGGACCAAAAAGAATCTTCAGTTTGTTGGGGTAAATGGTGGGTAAGCATCTGTTAAGAAGATAAAACTGCCTTTTCACGTACAGTATTATCCTCATCTGTCTCTCTCAGGAAATATAATCCTCCCCTCCCCAAATCTTTAATTAAAAGGCCATTTGCAATGTCATCTCTTTTATCCCTTCTTCAGTCTAATATCGATAACTTTGCAGTAAAACCTGATGGGAAAGACTGGGACATTGGTACTTTACAGAAATAATGAATGGTACTGGATTGACATCCTTGAAGACTCAAGTCGTCTGCTCACAGGTCATTTAGGACTTGATCCAAAACCTCAAAGTCATTGGGAATCTTTCCATTAACTTGCATCAAGTCTGTACTGGCCAGGCAGCCAGAGCCTACCATCAAAAGTGGCTCAGTATTGGCCTAGAAGAAGTTCTATCTATGCCTATTCAGTCCTTGGTCTCTCTATAATGACAGCCAACAAAAGTGCCAGTTAGTGCTGTGATAGGAGTGGGGATTATGTGAACACTTGTTCACTAAGAACTGAACGGAGACACATATATGTAATATATTTCCATTATTATCAGCTTGGAAACTCAGAGTCTGATACAATTCCTGCTCAAGTAAATGAGAGTTCTTCAGTTGATTGCAGTGGGAGATGGATGAGGCTCTACACTAGCAGGTAAGTCAGGTACTGAAAGAAAGGATGTTCCAGTTGATGAGGCATTCACCTGGATCCTGGGGGATCCAGGTTTAATTCCCTGCACTGTCATTGGTTTCCTCTGTGATGTTGGGCAAGTCATTTAATCTCTCTCTGCCTCAGTTCTGCAACTGCAAAATGGGGATAGTACTTCCCTACCTCACAGGGATATTGTGAGGATAACTACATTAAAAGATTCTGAGGCATTCTGATACTACATTAGCGCGGGCCCCATAAGTATATAAGATAGATAGAAATTGCAATATGGAATTTTTCACAGTTACATCCAATCTAATTTGCACTCAGCAAAATCCATGACCATCATAAGAGTAATGCATTCGTGAACTCAGCTGAATTTCTTGTGGACTAAAGTCATAGAATCATAGAATATCAGGGTTGGAAGAGACCTCAAGTGGTCATCTAGTCCAACCCCCAGCTCAAAGCAGGACCAATCCCCAACTAAATCATCCCAGCCAGGGCTGTGTCAAGCCTGACCTTAAAAACTTCTAAGGAAGGAGATTCCACCACCTCCCTAGGTAATACATTCTAGTGTTTCACCACCCTCCTAGTGAAAAAGTTTTTCCTAATATCCAATCTAAAACTCCCCCACTGCAACTTGAGACCATTACTCCTCGTTCTGTCATCTGCTACCACTGAGAATAGTCTAGATCCATCCTCTTTGGAACCCCCTTTCAGGTAGTTGAAAGCAGCTATCAAATCCCCCCTCATTCTTCTCTTCCGCAGACTAAACAATCCCAGATCCCTCAGCCTCTCCTCATAAGTCATGTTGTTCAGTCCTCTAATCATTTTTGTTGCCCTCTGCTGGATGTTTTCCAATTTTTCCACATCCTTCTTGTAGCGTGGGGCCCAAAACTGGACACAGTACTCCAGATGAGGCCTCACCAATGTCGAATAGAGGGGAACGATCACGTCCCTCGATCTGCTGGTAATGCCCCTATTTATACAGCCCAAAATGCCGTTAGCCTTCTTGGCAACAAGGGCACACTGTTGACTCATATCCAGTTTCTCATCCACTGTAACTCCTAGGTCCTTTTCTGCAGAACTGCTGCCTAGCCATTCGGTCCCCAGTCTGTAGTGGTGCATGGGATTCTTCCGTCCTAAGTGCAGGACTCTGCACTTGTCCTTGTTGAATCTCATCAGATTTCTCTTGGCCCAATTCTCTAATTTGTCCAGGCCCCTCTGTATCCTATCCCTACCCTGCAGCGAATCTACCTCTCCTCCCAGTTTAGTGTCATCTGCAAACTTGCTGAGGGTGCAATCCACACCATCCTCCAGATCATTAATGAAGATATTGAACAAAATTGGCCCAAGGACCGACCCCCGGGGCACTCCACTTGATACTCGCTACCAACTAGACATGGAGCCATTGATCACCACCCGTTGAGCCCGACAATCTAGCCAGCTTTCTATCCACCTTATAATCCATTCATCCAGCCCATACTTCTTTAACTTGCTGGCAAAAATACTGTGGGAGACCATGTCAAAAGCTTTGCTAAAGTCAAGGAACAACATGTCCACTGCTTTCCCCTCATCCACAGAGCCAGTTATCTCTTCATAGAAGGCAATTAAATTAGTCAGGCATGACTTGCCCTTGGTGAATCCATGCTGACTGTTGCTGATCACTTTCCTCTCCTCTAAGTGCTTCAGAATTGATTCCTTGAGGACCTGCTCCATGATTTTTCCAGGGACTGAGGTGAGGCAGACTGGCCTGTAGTTCCCAGGATCCTCCTTCTTCTCTTTTTAAAAGATGGGCACTACATTAGCCTTTTGCCAGTCATATCTCTCAAGCTGGTATGAATTAACATCTTTGCTGAGAGTCTCAGCAGAGAGGCCAAGGATTGAATTGAGACAAAATGGCATTTTACCCTAGAAATGGTCTTTCTGGGCAAGGTCTGAGGCACATTGTTTGGGCAGCATGATGGAATCTTACCCCTTTGCCCCCTGTTCTGCTGATTAATTGGCATCTGTTTCCAGTGTCGACACTCTGGAAGCTTTCAGGAGCACTTAAAAAAGAAAGTATAAGTAGGCACTCCTTTTGAAGTGAATAAAATTAATGTAGGTTGTAGTTGGGCTTGCTCTAGAAGAGATATGCATTTGCCTGTATGCAAATTGTCACCTTACTGGGATAAATTAAAGATCAGTTATGGGGAAAAGCTGCTGCTTCAGCAGCCAATCATCAAAAGCCAGGCGCTTAAAGATTTAAATCATGAAGTTATATATTTGATACATGAATGTGTACAGGTATGGATCCTCATCTAATAGCAGTGTCATCTCCTGAGCCTTACAAGTGAAAAGCGGAATGAAACTATGAAGAGAATGTTGTTCTTTTCATATATGTGCGGAAGTCTACCAACTGTTGCTTCAGGTTTCTTGCCTCAAGCAGTAGAAATAATTGGATAATTTGTCCAAAGGGACTGCAAATAGAATATGCTATAATTAAAAGTGTCCCATACATTAATCAGGTCATCGTGGGCCCAGTTTTCAAAAATAGCTTGTTAAGTTGTGCCCACACAATATGTATAGGTGTACAAACCAAGGAGTTCTAATTCACGTCTTGCCCATGAAAAGATGCCTATTTGTGTGTGAGTGATAGTTGAGTATTATAACTATTTTAAAAAATGATCACCCAAGGAACAATTACAAAATGCCAACAGAAGTGACTCAGTTGAAGAATTCTTCTGCTGATTTTTATTTATGCTGAAAGATTTATATTTTCCCCTCAATGGGCATGGACTTATGCATGTGAACTTGATCCTTGATTTCTCTCCCTGCACTTACATGTGCTGTTGTTTACCCCAGAAGTCACTGCAGTTCAGGGGGTGATATTCTGTTAGCCTTGCTCATGCTGAGTAATACCTATTTCACAAGTAGTCATAGAAATCAATGGAATTACTTGTGGAGGAAGGTGGCACTCAACATAAACAAAAAATCAGAATCTGAGCTTCCGTCTGTGAAACGTTTTGGGATCCTTTGGAGCAAAAGGCACCATATACATGTAACATATTAACACCACTGCTCTTAAATTAGCCAAGGTGGAGATGTTCCCTATCCCTAATTTTAGCAGCAAAATGCTTCTGTAGCACTCCCATTGGCCTGGGAAACAAGACGACTAAAAATTGAACCCAGAGTTCCTGTGTAGTAGGTTTGAACCTCAAAGTTGGGGTCTGGATCTATGGTTTAGGTTTGGTGCCAACCTCTCATATTGACATATTTTTACTGTGTCTAACATGCATGTCACTATGGGCATCATCCAAGGCCCATTGGAGTCATTGGGTGTCTTCAATGGGTATTGGCAAAGGCCCTGTAGTTGCTGAGGGGGAAGGAAAAGAGAATAATATCTGGTGTCCTCAATTAGTTATGAAACGACGTCAAGTGAAGACACCAGCTGTGAAGATAGCTCATCGGAAGGAAATTCAGACAGCGAGATGGAGAGGAAGTATGACAGTTTAGAACACAGACAGGTGAAAGCTGCCCGTGAAAACACACATGCCTCAACTGGAGTCTCCCAGAGCACTACCCATAGAGACAATGAGCCACAGGAACTGGAAGAAATAACAATGGCTAGCGCTCAACCCAAGACTGACAGGTAATCAGATAAACATGCTAATGCACCATATTAGTGATGTTGACTAATGAACAATGGAAAATTGTGATTTTTGGTTCCAAGTTTCAGTGGAAGACTGCAGTCACTTTGTTAGCAGCAAAGTTATTAATACGTTTTGAGAGAAAGAAGCAATATAAGTGACTGATTCTGAGTCATGCAGTACCTGTGTGGCTAGGTTATTATAATGATGCAGATACAGTAGGATAATATTGCTGGACCCATGGCTTTGTCTTAAGTTCTCATTTCATTAAACTTTTTAGAGAGATCTGTGCTTTTCATGGAGAGATAACTCAAACTAAAATTACTAAAACAGGGCTTTCTGTCCTTATATTTTTCCCTGCAAAAAGCATGTTACAATTGCACATTTGCCATATATGTCAATTTTCGAACCACATGCCTAGACATTAGAATATTCATGTTGTGAAAATCAGTGTATCAATGGGAACTTCTGTACCATACTCTAGAGCTATCCACACATCATCACAACCTGTCATGTACTGGTTTAGGACCAGATGCAATGTCAATTAAAGTCAATGGAAAAACTCCCATTGACTTATGTGAGCACTTGAGCAGGCTTTAAACAGCTACATATTTTCTTCAGGTTACTACAGAATCCAAAGTTTCTCATCTTCTAATTTTGTCCCAACAGACATTTAATTAAAAAGAAAAGGAGTACTTGTGGCACCTTAGAGACTAACCAATTTATTTGAGCATAAGCTTTCGTGAGCTACAGCTCACTTCATCGGATGCATCTGATTGTTACTATAGTGGATTTCCTGGAAGATCCGGGAATAAAATTGCTTTTGCATGAATTTTTGTTAAACTGGTTATTTGTAAATATAAAAGACATTTGGTTGCCTATTTAAAATGTACAATCTGTGGCTCTGGTCCTATGAACACTTACGCATATGCTTAACTTTATGCCCACAAACCTATCAAAGTCAATGGAACAACATGCATAATTGTTTGTTTGCAGCATTGGGGCCTAAAGATACACACTGCAAGTTATCTTCCCAGTTCAGAGTGCACTAGTTTTCTCTTACAATGGATTTATAAGAGTATTTTCCTTTTTAGATGCAAACCCTCAGAAGATTTTCTTGATGGCTGCCTGTTACTGACCAAACACCTTTCAGAAATAAGGACCACCAATGACAAACATTTGGTATTGGTATTTTTCAGCTGAATTTAAAATGCAACTCCCCTGTCTGTGCTATATTTAACCATTTAGAGTTTAGACCATCCAGACAATGTTTTGCAGAATTATTGTAGCAAACCATGGGCAGCTTTATAAGGAGAGGTGGGTCAAGGTAACTTCTGTTGTCTAGTTTTGATTTTGAAAGTCAAAACCAACCCAAGGTTTGGTTGCAGATTCATGACCTACAGAAAAAGGGAGAAAACTTTCCAAGCTTCTTCTGGTCAATTGGGCCAGACTAAAACTGACATAAAAATTCCTTTCCCCCTTTAAATAATCTTTCCCTGCTTCTAGACTGCAAGGGAAATAAAATAACAAAAACTATGCAAAAAATCCATCCTGCATATTAAACACATGCTGGATCATGCTGCAAAGCAGTCTGCAACATTGCCAAAATACATATGGCAACTAGATTTTTCCACCCTATGCCAGGGCATAGGCTGAAGCAGTGCCGGGCATAGAACCAGGAGTTGTAACAGGCTTCCTGCATTTCCCCCCACCCCTTTCTGCTGCATCAAGCAGATCTCAGTGCAATAGAATCCGGTACTAACTTTAACTAGCAGAGCACTGGAGAAGGGGAAAAATTTGCCCAGCATCTCCTCCTCTTTCTGTAGCCAAGCAACTGAGGGTAGGGCAAAAGCAGGGCACTAGATCTCCAGGAAGGGCTGGGGTGAGAGGACACATATCCCTTGCAAAAATGTGACTACATAGTCTGTAAAGAGCCCCTCAGAGAGACACAGCAAATTAACTAACCAGGAGAATGACAACAATGCTTCATTACCTTTTGCTTATTGGGAATTTTTTAAGAGTAGAACGGAGAAAAGCTCTACAGGAGCGTGCCTAATGGGAACACTGAGTGCTGAATCCTATTTGCATACAAAGGCTGAATCACTTAGAGGAGAAACATGGAGCGCTAAAGAATGTTTTCCCTACTCAAGCTGCTATTTGATTGTTGTACATAGACATAGTTGAGGCCAGTATTTTGGCCCATCCTATATTCTGCACAGGTCAGTAAGGCTGCCCCTTGCTGCCCTACACCAGCACACTACAGGTGGCAGCACTGGGGAGAAGCAGCCTCCGCAGAGCCCACGCGTGCAGGGATTGGGGAATGTGCAGAACCTTGGGACAGCCCCCCCCAACCATGATGGACAGCACAGCTGCCCCAGATGGAGGACACACACACTGTGCCAGGTATAGGGCTGGGGCACAGTGTAGCAGTAGAGATGGTGGGATCCAGGAGTCAGATTGTGACTGAATCACAGTTTACTTCCCGGGTTGCTCTTGGGCTAGTTCAGTTGTGCACTTCCCCCTACATGAGGCAAATAGAGAAGCTACAGTTTAGACCTGGATTTATAGAGTATTTAGGATAAAAAAAAATATTATTATTTTATTATTGGAGGTAGGTAAACAGAAGTGGGTAAAATGTTTTCATATAGATGTTAGATTGATGAAGACATATCATTTTAAAAAATAACATCGTTGTTCTAGTTGACCCATAAAACAGGATATAGGAGATGAGCTCAGATTTATTTGTATCCACTAATGTATCAATAAATATGAATGCTGCTTGAGTTAAAGTCTAGTGATAACTTGCCCATGAGAAAATGTTTCCAGGTATTCATATGTAGAACTAGTCACTTTAGTTCCCTGAGGGTTGCCATTTTTCAATTAAAAACAAACTAATCAAGCCAATAACAAACTACCTCTATTTTTAAAGATGTTGCTGTATTGTCTTTGCTAAAACAAATCACCCTTTTGAACTGCCAATAAATGCAAAGTTTTCTTTACCAGCCACAAAGTGAAAACACCAGCCAGGGACCAACCCTTGGGTAGAGCACTAGCGAAGGGAACTGGCATCATTACTTTTTGAAAAAGTAAGGTCCTGAAAGTGACTGTGAAATGTTGGTGTTTTAGAGACACATCTTAAACACTGTCTGTCAAGAGTGGTTCCGAATCTCTAGTAGGAAATCCTCCAGCCCTGAGGTTGTTGCAGCTTATCTCAAAGAATTCAAAGCAATTCATCCCCAGCTACTGAAGATGATCATAAACCTGGCAGATGGAAACGGGAATACAGCTCTTCATTACAGTGTTTCCCATTCCAACTTTCTGATTGTGAAGCTTCTACTAGATACAGGTGGGAACTAATGCTGCAGTTGTTGTTTTTGTCTGGGGTGGGAGGGAAAGGTTGGTACTTGCCAATTATTTCATATAATCACATTTAATGTCTTTTTCAGATTTAAAAATCTGGTCACAATTTAAGGGCCCAATCCTGGAAAACTGATTACCCAGCATGTGGCTGATCTAGCAAGATTGGAGTCATTGATCGTCCTTCCATTGGCTTCAGTAGGAGCTGGATTGGGCCCCTAGATTTTTAAAGATATTTAGATGCCTGAAGATGCAGCTAGACATCTAGTGGGATTTCAATGGGAGTTAAGTGCCTAGGTGCTTTTGAAAATCCCACTGGGTGTCTAGCTGCATCTTCAGGCACCTAAATACATTTAAATATTTGGCCTTTAGTGCTTACTTCAGTGGGACTAATCACAGGAGTAAGCATTGTGCTCGGCCGTTCATGTGTGCAAGATCAGACCCTTTGATTGTAATAGTGGCCTCTAGCTCAGCAGCAAGAACTGCATTCTAAACTATTGAACTTTTAGCTCATACTGTAAAGAATTAAACTTCCAGCTGAGATTTTATCAGATAAAATGCAGGCACTTTCCAGACAGAATAATGAAGCTTTTTGCCTTTCTTGGTTGGCAAGACAATCTGTTAAATGTTAAGAGAATGGCATATTATCATACACATCTATAAACCCATTGTTTAACAGACTTCCAAGCAACTCCAGAAAATATTGAGAGAAATTTGTTCTGGTCTTTTAGAAAATACCCCAAAGCGACTAAGCTCAAAGGGCAATACTTAAATGTTTAGGCACAGTAAATAAGAAGGCTGAGAATATAACAGCACAAACTGGAACAGTAGGAGTGATGAATTTCTTAATAGAATTAGCCTATTTGTTGTGTATAAAATGAACGGAAACTTGTCAAGAGCATAAAAGTGTCAGAATTAGAATAGTACAAATCGCATGCTGCATCTGTATTTAGATCAGCTACTGAAACATATTTACTATGAATGTTCAATCACATTTTGAAACAAATTTATCTTGAATGTGTTCACACCCCAGGCTGCCAAAGAAGGGTGACCAGTTAGCAAGTGTGGAAAATCGGGACGGCTGGCGAGGGGGATGATAAGGTCCTCTGGGTGTGGGTAATAGGGTCCTATATAAAACAAAGCCCCTAATATTGGGACATCTGGTCACCCTATGCCAAAGTGATGTGAAAGAGCCAATGTAACTCAGAATCAGACCCCAAATCTGCTTAGTTTACAGATCAAAAGAAGATTTTTTCCAACTGCTTGCGCTTGCAAGTTCAGCCTAAAACATCATTTGAAAAGCAAGCCATGTTCTTTCAGGTCTGCACTTCATCACTAGCAATCTCGATTCATCACTGGCAATTTTCCTGAGGTTGTGCAAGCAAAGATGGTCAGAATCCAGCTTGTTGTTCCATAGCTATATCAGCTATGTAATGTTAACATTAGTAAAACTTGGTTATAGGAGCAACCTAAGAAGATCAGATTTAGAATGCATATTGGGTGAAATTCACTCCTCTGCTGCACTACTTACGCCCTATTCTGAGAACTTAAATGAGTGGTTCATAGGTCTGGAACTGGCCTTCAGCACAGGGGCAAATGTCACCCATACAAAGCAATGATGGCAGGAGCATAGTGCCATTTTGTTCAGAATAATTATCTTTGATGATCATAACCCAACTTAAAAATGCTTAGAAACAAAATTCCAGGTAGCTCGGAGCAATACATAACATCCAGTGACTTCTGTACTTACAGCCAACTTACTCAGTCTTCAAGTCACTTGGACCCAGATCCTCAAAGGTAATTAGGTGCTTAAACTCCCATTGAAATCAATAGGATTTTTGCCATTTTTTTCACTGGGAGTAGGAGCAGTTCCTAAGTCACTCACAGACTTGCCTCAAAACCAGGGGTGAAAGTAAGTTAGGTACGCCGGAGCCCTGAGCAGGGGGTGTGGCCTCAACCAGAAGAGGCAGGGCCTTAAATCCCCAGGCCCTTTAAATCTTGATTTAAAGGGCCAGGGCTCCAGCTGCGGTAGTGGTGGCTGGGAGCCCGGGGCCCTTTAAATCACCCGGTCTGAGCCCTGCTGCCCGAGCCCTGGAGTAGCGGTGGCCGGGCTCCATCAGGGATTTAAAGGACCCCGGGGCTCCAGCCGCCGCTACCGCCCCGGCCCTTTAAATGCTCGCCGGAGCCCCACCACCGCTACCCCAGGGCTTCGGCAGCAGGGCTCCGGCGGGGATTTAAAGGGCCAGGGCAGTAGGGGTGGCTGGAGCTCCGAGGCACTTTAAATCCCCGCCAGAGCCCCACCCCACCCCTACCCCAGGGCTCGGGCAGCAGGGCTCAGGCGGGGATTTAAAGGGCTGGGGGCTCCAGCCACCGCTACTGTCCCGGCCCTTTAAAACCCCTCCGGAGCCCCACCGCCACTATCCCAGGGCTTCGGCAGCAGGGCTCAGGTGGGAATTTAAAGGGCCCCGGGGCAGTAGCAGCGGCTGGAGCTCTGGGGCCCTTTAAATCCCCGCCAGAGCTCCACCACCGCTACCCCAGGGCTTGGGCAGCAGGGCTCAGGCGGGGATTTAAAGAGCCGGGGGGAGGGGTGAGGGGGGTAGCAGCGGCTGGCACTCCGGGGCCCTTTAAATCCCTGATGGAGCCCGGCCACCGCTACTCCAGGGCTTTAAATTGCCCTCTCTGAAAGCCGGTCCTGGTACGGTGCACCGGCTCTTACCAGTACGCCATACCGGACGTACTGGCTTACTTTCACCTCTGCTCAAAACACAACTCCTCTGTTAGGCCACTGATCAAGCAATGGGTCATTCCTGCCTGAATAAGAACTACTGCATCCATCTCTTAAACGTTGGCTACAAGTAATACTTACAGCTTTTCATATTTGAGTCTCTGCTTCTCTTTTTTACTTCTTCTTTGCTCAGTTTGCTTCTCCATGTTATCTACTGACTTTCCCCCCCGACCTGTGCACTCTATTTTCCACCCCTTCCACACAGGATAGTGCGGGTCTCTCTCTATTTCAGGTCTAGGCAAAAAAAATTACCCAACATATCTTCTCAGGGCCTAGTTCTGCTCTCAGCGCAGTCAGCAGAAAAGCTCCCATTAATTTCATTGGAGAAATGATCAATCTCCATATTTTCCTTTTCTATTTTTTCTGCTTGTCTTTTACTTCTCTCGCCTCTCTTTTGGTGGTCACATTTTCTGTAATTGCTATAATTAAATGATTTCTCTACTCAGCTTTTCTCCTTCTACTTCATTTGTTTCGCTGCTCTGCAATACCCCTACTTGATTATCTCTTCTCTTCCAGTGTTTCTCTTTCTACTCTTTTCTCTCTACTTTCAGGTTTCAGAGTAGTAGCCGTGTTAGTCTGTGTCCGCAAAAAGAAAAGGAGGACTTGTGGCACCTTAGAGACTAACACATTTATTTGAGCATAAGCTTTCATGAGCTACAGCTCACTTCATCGGATGCTTATGCTCAAATAAATTTGTTAGTCTCTAAGGTGCCACAAGTCCTCCTTTTCTCTATTTTCAGTTTCTCTACCATTTTGGGTTCCTTCTCTCTTTCTTTCACATTCTTCCTTTCTTCCCTCCCTTTTTTCTGACCAGCTGATCTTTAGCATTTTCTCTGTGATCCACATAGTTTCCACAGCTGAGCCTTAGTGCGCGGTTTGCCTGGCTTGCATGCACCTGAAAGTGACTGCCACTGAACTCAGGGCAAAAATCAGTATCTCAAGTCGTGAGCATCAACCACTGCCTTTGCTATAGATTCAGCTTTCTAGGCCCCTCACTTTCAGATCTCAACATTAATGTGAGATCAGTTTTTTAAAAAATATTTAAAAAGAGCAGATTCCTGTGACGATGCAATTGGCCATAAATGACCTAAAATTTCTTCCAAGGTATCTGTTATCCATCTGTAAATAGTGTATTGTGTTTTGGCTACGTCACTCAACCCTGCACTATCTGTAGATTTTCAGGACTTTTTTCCCCCTCATCTTTAGGTGTTTGTGATGTGGACCATCAAAATAAAGCTGGATATACTGCAGTGATGATCACACCACTGGCATCAGCAGAAAGTGATGAAGACATGGAGGTGGTCTTAAAGCTGTTGAAAGAAGGGAACGTAAACATACGGGCAAGTCAGGTACATAACAATCATCAACAGTCCCTGTTTGTTTGTACAAGTGAACATAGACTTGAAAAGATAATGGAGCAAATAATTAAGTAATCAATTTGCAAAGAGCTAGAAGATAAGAAGGTGATAAGTAACAGTCCGCATGGATTTATCAAGAACAAATCCAGTCAGACCAAACTAATAGCTTTCTTTGACAGGGAAACAAGCCTTGTTGATAGGGGGGAACTGGTAGATGTGGTAATCTTGACTTTAGTAAGGCTTTTGACCGTCTTGCATGACCTTCTCATAAACAAACTAGGGAAATGCAACCCAGACGGAGTTACTATACCGGGGTGACTAACTTGCGCCTGAGAAGGAGCCAGAATTTACCAATGTACATTGCCAAAGAGCCACAGTAAAACTTCAGCTGCCTCCTCTCCCCCCACAGCTCCCAGCCCCTCCTGCCCACCAGCAGCCCCGCTGATCAGAGCCTCCTGCTCCCTCCCCACAACCCCCCCCCCGATCACCTGTTTCATGGTGTGCAGGAGGCTCTGGGGGGGAGGGAGAGGAGCAAGGGCATGGCAGACTCAGGGGAGGGGGCGGGAAGGGGTGGAGTAAGGGCACAGCCAGGGGTTGAGCAGTGAGCACCCCCTGGCCCATTGGAAAGTTGGCGCCTGTAGCCCCAGCCCCGGAGTTGGTGCCTGTACAAGGATCCGCATATTAACTTCCGAAGAGCCGCATGTGGCTCCGGAGCCACAGGTTGGCTACCCCTGTACTATACGGCGGGTGCATAACTGGCTGGAAAAAAAACGTTCCCAGAAAGTAGTTATCAATGATCCACAGTCAAGCTGGAAGAACATATAGAGTGGGGTCCCGCAGGGATCAGTTCTAGGTCCAGTTCTGTTCAATGTCTTCATCAATGATTTAGATAATGGCATAGAGAGTGTACTTATAAAGTTTGTGGATGATACCAAACTGGGAAGGGTTGCAAGTGCTTTAGAGGATAGGATTAAAATTCAAAATGATCTGGACAAACTGGAGAAGTGGTCTGAAGTAAGTAGGATGAAATTCAATATGGACAAATGCAAAGTACTCCACTTAGGAAGGAACAATCAGTTGCACACTTACACAATGGGAAATGACTGCCTAGGAAGGAGTACTGCAGAAAAGGAGCTGGGAGTCATAGTGGATCACAATCTAAATATGAGTGAATAGTGAAACACCATTGCAAAAAAAGCAAACATCATTCTGGGAGGAGTATTAGCAGGACTGTTGTAAGCAAGCCACAATACATAATTCTTCTGCTCTACTCTGCGTTGATCAGGCCTCAACTGGAGTATTGTGTCCAGTTCTGGGCACCACATTTCAGGAAGGCTGTGGACAAACTGGAGAGAGTCCAGAGGAGAGCAACAAAAGTGATTGAAGTCTAGAAAATATGGCCTATGCAGGAAGATTGAAAAAATTGGGTTTGTTTACTCTGGAGAAGAGATGACAGAAAGGAGACATGATAACAGTTTTCAAGTACATAAAAGGTTGTTATAAGGAGGCAGGAGAATAATTGTTCTACTTAATCTCTGAGGATGGGACAAGAAGCAATGGTATTAAGTTGCAGCAAGGGTAGTTTAGGTTGGACACTAGGAAAAACTTCCTGTCTGGGTGGTTAAACACTGGAATAAATTGCCATCATTGGTTATTTTTAAGAGCAGCTTAGATAAACACCTGTCAGGGATGGTCTAGATAGTACTTTGTCCTGCCATGAGTGCAGGGGACTAGACTAGATGACCTCTCAAGGTCCCTTCTAGTCTTACAATTCTATGATTCGAAGTTTTTATACAGAATATATTTGTGAACTAGATGATGCATGGAAACCATAGGGATTGGTTCCCTTCCAACCCCAAACTACAGGATTCACTTGGCAAACCCATTCACAAGCCAAACCCTGCAGGGTTCATACCACCCTAATTATAATCATACCTGTCCGATTCTTATTACTTACTCCCAGTGTGAGTTCAGATTGAATAAAGGGGTGAAAGATCTGGCTAAACAAGACAACTTTGAGATGTATTTATTGTGTAATTAATTAAGTCTCAGTGCATATGGGAACTAGCCTTATAAAAATGTGCATTATAGAACCTTCTAGATGCTAGTTCAGCCAGAGTAACTACACATATTTAATACTCCTCATATTTATTTCCTTCATAATTATATCCCATTAAAGATCCTTATAGGGAGAATAAATCAAGCATTACAGCATGCTTACACCATCGACCCTTAACCAGGGAGCGGGGCTACTCAGAAAGACCAGGGCTTTAAAAAACCCACTCCTAAGCCACCAGAGAAGCTAGTGAACAGAGGAGTTTTGCAAGGGAGTTTACAGGGGGAGTGTGAGGGAGGGGCTACATACACTTAACATTCCTTAAACTTCTTTAAACTTAAAGCCCAAAACACTCCTTGATAAAAACAAAACAACAACAAAGTAACAAGGTTCAGGAGTAAAAAGAGAATGCAGGCCGAAGTCCAGCAACAGAGTGGGGGCTACCCAGTTTATTGCACCCAATGCAGCATGTATGATTAGTTGCCCTAAGGGAAAGATAGAAGAGAGGTCCTGGAGGCCAAATTTAGGCTGCTAGATAAGAGATTGAAGTCCAGGACCTCCATGGTAGCATTCTCTGAAATGCTTCCAGTTCCACGCACAGGGCCAGTTAGACAGGCAGAACTGCAGGCTCTCAATGTGTGGATGAGATGATGGTGTAGGGAGGAGGGATTTTGATTTATTAGGAACTGGGGAATCTTTGGGGAAAGAGGGAGCCTATACAGGAAGGATGGGCTCCACTTAAGCCAAAATGGAACCAGATTGCTGGCACTTAAAATTAAAAAGGTCGTAGAGCAGTTTTTTAAACTTGGGGCTGAGGGAAAGCTGACAGGTGTGGAGGAGCACATGGTTCAGATAGAGATATCCCTTACGGGAGGGTCTAGAAATGGAGATTCCCTATGTCCTAATAAGGAGGAGAGGAAGGAAGATGATAAAATACAGGTAAGATCTGATGGGAAACAGTTAAAAGAAAAAAAGGCCCATTCAATTACATCACGTAATGGTAAGCAGCTAAAAAGTGACAAGTTTTTAAAGTGCTTATATACCAATGCTAGAAGTCTAAATTAAAAGATGGGCAAATTAGAGGGCCTCGTATTAAATGAGGATATTGAAATGAGGATATTGATATAATAGGCATCACAGAAACTTGGTGGACTGAGGATAATCAATGGGACACAGTAATACAAGGGTACAAAATATATGAGAAGGACAGAACAGGTCGTGCTGGTGGGGGAGTGGCACTATATGTGAAAGAAAGCGTAGAATCAAATGAAGTAAAAATCTGATTTAGTCCTAAGTGGAGCACAGGATCAGGTCCAAGAGGTGAATATAGCTGGACCGCTTGGTAATAGTGACCATAATATAATTAAATTTAACATCCCTATGGCGGGGAAAACGCCACAGTGGCCCAACACTGTAGCATTTAATTTCAGAAAGGGGAACTACACAAAAACAGGAGGTTAGTTAAACAGAAATTAAAAGTTACAGCACCAGAAGTAAAATCCCTGCAATCAGCGTGGAAACTTTTTAAAGACACCATAATAGAGGCTCAACTTAAATGTATACCCCAAATTAAAAAACATAGTAAGAGAACAAAAAAGAGCCACCATGGCTAAACAACAAAGTAAAAGAAGCAGTGAGAGGCAAAAAGGCATCCTTTAAAAAGTGGAAGTTAAATCCTAGTGAGGAAAATAGAAAGGAGCATAAACTCTGGCAAATGGAGTGTAAAAATATAATTAGGAAGGCCAAAAAAGAATTTGAAGAACAGCTAGCCAAAGACTAACAAAGTAATAGCAAAAAATGTTTTAAGAACATCAGAAGCAGGAAGCCTGCTAAACAACCAGCGGGGCCACTGATGATTGAGATGCTAAAGGAGCATTCAAGGATGATAAGGCTACTGTGGAGAAACTAAATGAATTCTTTGCATCGGTCTTCACGGTTGAGGATGTGAGAGAGATTCCCAAACCAGAACCATTCTTTTTAGGAATGAAGAACTGTCCCAGATTGAGGTGTCATTAGAGGAGGTTTTGGAACAAATTGATAAATTAAACAGCAGTAAATCACCAGGACCAGATGGTATTCACCCAAGAGTTCTGAAGGAACTCAAATGTGAAACTGCAGGGCTACTAACTGTGATCTGTAACCTATCATTTAAATCAGCTTCTGTACCAAATGACTGGAGGATAGCTAATGTGACACCAATTTTTAAAAAGGGCTCCAGAGGTGACCCCGGCAATTACAGGCCTGTAAGCCTGACTTCAGCACTGGGAAAACTGGTTGAAACTATCATAAAGAACAAAATTGTCAGACACATAGATGAACATAATTTGTTGGGGAATAGTCAACATGGTTTTTGTAAAGGGAAATCATGCCTCACCAATCTACTAGAATTCTTTCAGGGGTCAACAAGCATGTGGACAAAGGAGATCCGGAGGATATAGTGTATTTAGATTTTCAGAAAGCCTTTGACAAGGTCCCTCACCAAACGCTCTTAAGCAAAGTAAGCAGTCATGGGATAAGAGGGAAAGTTCTCTCATGGATTGGTAACTAGTTAAAAGATAGGAAACAAAGGGTAGGAATAAATGGTCAGTTTTCAGAATGGAGAGAGGTAAATAATGGTGTCCCCCAGGGGTCTGTACTGGGCCCAGTCCTATTCAACATATTCATAAATGATCTGGAAAAAAGGGGTAAACAGTGAGGTGGCAAAATTTGCAGATGATACAAAACTACTCAAGATAGTTAAGTCCCAAGCAGACTGCAAAGAACTACAAAAGGATCTCACAAAACTGGGTGACTGGGCAACAAAATGGCAGATGAAATTCAATGTTGATAAATGCAAAGTAATACACGTTGGAAAACATAATCCCAACTATACATATAAAAGGATGGGGTCTAAATTAGCTGTTACCACTCAAGAAAGAGATCTTGGAGTCATTGTGGATATTTCTCTGAAAATATCCACTCAATGTGCAGCGGCAGTCAAAAAAGTGAACAGAATGTTGGGAATCATTAAGAAAGGGATAGATAATAAGACAGAAAATATCATATTGCCGCTATATAAATCCATGGTACACCCACATCTTGAATACTGTGTGCAGATGTGGTCACCCCATCTCAAAAAAGATACATTGGACTTGGAAAAGGTTCAGAGAAGAGCAGCAAAAATTATCAGGGGTATGGAATGGCTGCTGTATGAGGAGAGATTAATAAGACTGGGACTTCTCAGCTTGGAATAGAGACGACTAAGGGGGGATATGATAGAGGTCTATACAATCGTGACTGGTGTGGAGAAAGTAAATAAGGAAGTGTTATTTACTCCTTCTCATAACACAAGAACTAGGGGCCACCAAATGAAATTAATAGGCAGCATGTTTAAAATAAACAAAAGGAAGTATTTTTTCCACACAACGCATATCAACCTGTGAAACTCCTTGCCAGAGGATGTTGTGAAGGCCAAGACTATACCAGGGTTCAAAAAAGAACTAGATAAATTCATGGAGGATAGGTCAATCAATGGCTATTAACTAGGATGAGCAGGGATGGTGTTATACCAATAAAATAAAAACCAGCAGGATCTTATTAAAGGGGATAAGACAAAATGTCACATTTATTGTGAATACAAAAAGAATCATAGTAGGCAGTCAGTTATAGCTATAAGATTTCATTCAGTTTCACATTCATTCACACGTTCATTCATACACACACACAGGTTCTGCGGCTGCTGTATAGTTACCAGTCCTAAATGTAGCTTGAGTTCATGGCTTGGGTTCGTAGCTTATGGTGGCTAACTGGCAAGGAAAGCAAGGCACAAGGAAGAGCTTTTACAAAATGGAGTGAGCATTTTAAAATGGAGTTTGGGACAAGTTAAATGTAGTTTGAGATACAATATGGACAAGTGTAAGGAATGGCAAACAGTGAACAGAAGTTACAATGTTGAAACAGTGCAAGTTTCAGCGATTTAAGCAGCAATTGGATTGAAAGTGAAACTCAATTAGCCAGTTATGGGGTAACCGGTTTCATGAATGAATGTTGTTTCATTCGTAAAACTTTGCTTATGAAGTTATATTAATAAAGTGAACAATTAAAAACAATTTCATTGATCAGTTCTACAGTGGTGTCCCTAGTCCTTCTGTCTTTTGACAGAAGCTGGGAATGGGCGTCAAGGGATGGATCACTTGACGATTACCTGTTCTGTTCATTCCTTTTGGGGCACCTGGTATTGGCCAATGTTGGAAGACAGGATACTGGACTAGACGGACCTTTGGTCTGACCCAGTATGGCCGTTCTTATGTTCATGAATTTGAGAAGCAAGATTATGTGTGTTAGTATGCATATTATATTGAAGTTGCCAGATTAGAAAGTTAAAGCAACATATTCAGCCAAACTCTGCAATCCACTGTGACTAATTAAATCTTCTGGACTTTGCCCATCCCAATGCTGCTTCTCAATCCATGCTTTTATGTACAAGTATCAATCAATTAATCAGTTGCTAATTAAAGTACTTGAAGGAAAACTCAGAGGGCCTGATCCTTCACTATACTGAGCATCTTCCACATGCAGCTAAGTGCCTTCAGCTACTATTGGGTGGGAATTGAGATGCAGAACCTTGCAGGCTCAGATGCAAACATTTGCTTTTTCTGACTCCCAACTGCTTGCTAAACAATGGTTAAAATCTGAAATAAGAGTCTAAGAAATGAAAGTGAATTAAAGTAACCGAAAAAAAAACAGAATATGAACCACTATCAGGAGGGGCAGTGGTTCAGGGGTGAACTATCAGGACACCTCAGAATAATTATTTTTGAGACAATATCACTACACATGATTATTTAGTCATAGTTGTGTAAACTTTTCTGGGCCTGATTCTCATTTACACTAAGGTTCCTTGACACTACTCCGTCGTGTGTTCTTTTTGCTCTGGCAGCGTAAAGGCAGTGTTAGTGTGGTTATAAATGTAATTCTAAGGACCTTCGTGTAAAGGGAAACCAGGCTCTTCTCACTTTAGGTTTCACTAGTTTACTTTGCCGTTATAGCTTTATATTTACACTGTCAATAAAAATAAAAGAAATGGCCAGTTTGGCCAGGGCCAGATGATCTAGATTGCAAGGGGGGCTTTTGACACACTACAGTGCTCAAGTCACGGTGAGAGGTCCCACTGTAATTTGCTTCCCAATTTCACACCTCTGACAAAATGGTACTGAGCAGACTATCATGTATCACCTCTGACTGCAGGATGGAACTGGAACTGCATGTCATAAGCCCTATGCAGCTAATAGCTAATGGATAATCTCCAATAAATCTAGTGGCAGGGCCGTAGCTTTTGGAGCATGCAGATCAGATGTGAGTTTTAGCCTTGCTGTCACAGTGAAGTTCTGAGGAGCCATGACATGTAGAAGAGTCAACTCTGAAGTTATAAATGGCCACGGATTTGTTACAGCATCTGCTGTAGGGCTACCTGTGTTCCAAGCAAGACTGTTATGCTATTTGAATGATTAGATTGTGTAAATAAGTTACATTTCCTTGATGGGTATGTCATTGTGTTTGGTCTGTGTTGCGATATTCCTAGGGAGGCCAGACAGCCTTAATATTAGGTGTCAGCCATGACAGGGGAGATATGGTGAAAGCCTTGTTGTCTTGCAAGGCTGACATAAACCAGCAGGATGATAATGGAACATCAGCACTGATGGTTGCCTGTCAGCATGGTAATGCTGAGATCGCGAAGCTTCTTCTGGCTCACCCTGCTTGTAACACTACATTAACGGACAAGGTAAGGGAAACTGGTGGTTGCAGCATGTACTGTAAAAAATATACACACTCAGTCACTGCCAGGAGGCAGTTAGTGAATATTTAAAGAAACCATATGGCTTTCTTGCCTTAGAACTGGAGCAGACACTAGACACCTCCAGGAAACCAAAGTATCTCCCTTATCAAACATGTTAATGAGTGGGCTTTGGCTCTGTGCCTTGCCTGTCTCACAGATAAAGGGGACTGGATCAGTTTAAGGATTTGGAGGATAAGTAACCCGCGTTTTAACTCAATTATCAATTCCAAGCCAAGCTGCACAATTGCATACTTAGAAGTGCAATGAAACCTGCTTTAACAGACAAGCTCCTGCCTTCATAGACCACCCCCAAATGTACTAACTACAGTTGTACTCCAGGATCTGTAGGAGGTCAGTTCCATTAAGCAAAAAACCTTTTTTTTTTTTCAGTTTATTGAGCATTTGCTTAAGACAGGGGTCAATATACAATATGGTGAACATGTAAGTACAATACTAATGAACTACAGCAGCATCTTGTGATGGAGTTTTGGTATACGAAAGGGTGTGTCAGAGAGAGTGAGAAAAAAAGATTCCAGCTTAGGCCTTTATCTCTTTCAAATACCATAATAAGTAACACCTCGGTTGCGAGCATGCGGCTCAAGATGTTTCCTATTTTGTACATGTTCAGTATGCCTGGATGCAGCCCTTTGCATTTGTCACTGTGGGTTACAGACAACAAGCAGGTTACAAACAATAATACGTGTCCCATTGGCATTTATCAGATAATTAGAAGTGTAAAAACATCTTGAAAATAATGAGGAAGATCCACTCTGGCTTAGAGTTTTATTCCAGCATTATGATGCACTGCTCAAACCACAGAAAAATATTATGTTAAGCGACCACAGCTTCGTTATAACCATATAGTTTTATGTAAAAACTTGGCACATAATCAAATGTCCGATTCTCCACTTGACAGGGCCATTGAAAGCAACTGCACCTATTAGAGTCAACTAATTGAGTGTACCCACCCATGTACAGAGGGTCACAACTGAAAAATGCACTTTCTTCCTCAGAATGCTGACTTGCCATTTGTAACAGCCAATGAGAGAGCCTCCCTTTTATAAGGTTCCAGGCCCCACACCACCCCAAGTCTCCTCAGTGACTTCAAATCCCTCATCAGGTGATCCACTGCTTGGTTACAAACTCACCTAGCTGAACTGGTTCCTCAGGCAGCATCTAGGTCATTGTCTTGGGCTGCATGTATTTGAATGGGAGACCATCTCAGTAAATGACCCTGGATTGTTAACCATCTGCTAGCTGCAAGAATTTCTCATGACTCCTCCCTGGAGGTCTTAGCAGAAGATGGAGGGTAAAAGGCAAAAGTGTAGGCAATCAAAATGGCACTCACAAAACAAAATTAAGTTTGTAATCTGATGTAGGAACATACAGACGTACACTAGTCCCTCACAATCTTCCATGATGCACCACAGCCAGGGACTCCCGTGTTGCACCACTTCTCCTCTCCATGCAGGGAAACTCTTTAGTCACCATGGGAGGTGCAGGCCAGGCCAGGAGCTCAGCCAACGGAGGAGAACTGGAGCTTGAGTCATCTGAACTACAACTCCCATGAGGCATCAGAGCAGCGTTTTCAAATAAAAATATTTCAGTTCTTGGCCAGAATATTTTGGTGGTCAAATTTCTGCCCAAAATGAACATTTCTCATGACAAACTCTCTACTTTTTTGCTCAGCTCTAATATTTAGGCATTGTGGCCTGATTTCCTGTGGCCCTGAATACTCACAATTCCTATTGAAGTCAATGGGTGGGTGCTGCATACCTCTGAATGATCTTCTCAGCTCCAGCAGAAAGAACCCTTGCGTCATGATCATGTCAAAGAATCACAAAGGGGAAATATTTATGCACAGCACACCTACAGACGCAAAGGGGTACATTTTTTTATAGAGAATAGGTCACACCTTGCTTTTTAGAGGTGAAATATTCAGCTGTGGGTTTTGAACTAACACACAGTGCAGTGCTGCTGCAGGGTGGTTGCAGTTCAAACTACCTGACGGGCACCTGCAGCCAAATTAGAGGTACAGATACACAGATTTCTCCTGTGGGTGCAAAAATATGGGTACAAATTTTGTAGGTGCAAGTTGCACCCATAAAAAGGAAGTCAACCTCGTTGGAAATTTTGTTCAAGATGTATTAAAACTTGTTAATAATATATAGGGTGAAACCCTGGCTCAGTTGAAGTCAATGGGAGTTTTTCCATTAATCCCTTAAATAGGCTAGCACATAGCATGCCATTTAATGTCCAGACAGCAATCACCAAGACATGAAGTGATTTGAAAAACACATCAGGGCCCAGTTCTGCCCTTTGAATACACAGATTTAAATGACTGAGAGTTGCACCAATGTATCTGAAAGGCAGAAGTGAGCTCTTAGGATCTTGTCAAGAGAGAGCCTTGCAACAAAAGCCCTATCAGCGATATATATCAAATTGTCCAAGTCCTCCCTTTTCACCCACTCCTAAGTTGGATAGATCATCTGGCTGGAAAGGAAACTACTGCCTTGGCAAAGACCACATTAGCACATTTAAAAATCTCATTTCAGCCTTGGGAGTATAGTCTTCAGTAGCAGCACAACATGTGAATCAGTCTCTTATTTAGTTAAGGAACATTTGAAAACCCCAGTGCATTGCTTATACATTTACAGCTTTCGGTACTGTGACAAGGACTGAACAATGTCATTTACATAAACACAATTCAATGTTTAATAGCCAGACCAATTGTAAGCTGGCAGCACACCACACTGCCAACTAACTGATGAAGTTTCAGAGGAATTATATACAGTGGCTTTAAGTGTGGAATTTCTCAGTAGTTGTATGCATTGGTTTTGTTCGTATGTAAGGAGGATGATCACACACTGTCTCTTCAAGAACCAAATTATCCAGGATGAATTTCACAGCCTTCATTACCAGAGAGCAGCATTGTTTCAAGATGATGCCAGAGGAGGGTGAAAGAGCAGACAGGAACATATGGGCAGGGCTAGCTATCTGAGATTAATACAGTATACTGATCTATGTATTCAATCTGTGTGGCAATAGGTAGTTTACACATACACACTCAAATGGAGACAAATACAAGCATACTCTAAATACAATTTTTCTTAATTCAGACATTATTTAATGGGGAATAGTCATTGCTGACAGCACCCAAAATTGGGCAAGATACGACCATGATGAATTCATTAGAAACAGATTAATTAGACCTAGCAAGCTGGCAAAAATTGTCTTCTGCTGATAAATCAAGTTGACCAACTTCAGGAAGGAGAGCCCAGTGTCATGACCATAAGCTGAACACCAAATGTAATGTCTTTTGTTTAATTTAAACATACACAAGTGGAGATTATAACAATCTCTCTCCACAACTCATCTGAATTTTGGGTAGTCAGCTACTGAGATAAAGCAGCTGCTCTGGTAACTAAGATTGGCAGCCTGCTAAATACTGTGATGAGAGACTATGTTCAGATTCACACACATCTCCTTACAATTGATGCTTTTCTCAGGAAGACAGACAAAAGGGAGAAACATCTGGCATTTGAAAACTATTTTCTCCTTCCCCAGAAGCATCAGCGATGACCATGTCTGGAGATGGGACATTGGGCAGGGAGGGCCAGGGCCCTGAGGCGGCTGCCAGCATTCTCTCTCTCTCAGGTGCTCGGCTGGCTGGTTCTTGCTGACACGCTCAGGGCCTAACTTATTGCCATACGTGGGGTCAGGAAGGAATTTTCACTAGGTCAGATTGGCAGTCACCATGGTTTTATTCTTTTACCTTCTTTTGCTACATGTGGGTGTGGGTCTCTTGGCAGGATCATTTGAGTATATCTCATTGAATCATTTCTCTGTCATTGCTGGGGCCTTGAGCACTTGTCCCCTTCAGTCCTTCTCTCTGCCTGTGGCACATAATAGTCTGGTATTATTCTGTGGGCTGTAATGCTTTGCTTTCATTTTAGTTGTTGGGTTTAGTGTGTGGGTGCTGGGTGGTATTGGTGGCCTGTGATATATAGGAGGCCAAACTAGATGATCTAGTGATCCTTCTGGCTTTGGACTATATGACTCTATGAATGATTAGGCCATTTTGATGTTATGGGCAGTTTTGTCACTGTAATGCATGCAACCCCTTTTCCCATTAGTAGAACTGGCACATGCAATTCTCCACATTCAACACTGACATTAACCCTTAGCTGTCCAGTAAGATTTTTATTTTAAAGATTTGCATAATAAATTCATTTTCTTTCTTTCCCATGTAGAGTGGTAATTCTGCTCTGTCTGTCGCTCTGAAATCTGCCCACATGGAAATTGCAGAGCTTCTCCAAGCCCACATAGAGCAGAGCCGGTCTTTGGCTAAATAAAGGAAATGGAAAATAGCATTTGTCGGAATGGGGAATGGATAACAAAAGGTTCATTCTTTTAACAACTCTGCTTCCAATTTAGATGGAAATTATTGTAGCTGATACTGCTGATTTCCATACTTATTGGGGGAGTGAACTATGTCAACTATTTGCATACATTCCTAATATATAATTTTCCTCATTAAGCCTGCTTTTATAGTCCTAACCTATGCATAGTGCCATAAATGACTCAAATACAGTTTCAGAAAGTTAGATTATTGTATTGCCTTTTATTAACACACTTGACCTTGATCTTAAAACTGAATTCCACTCTCTATCCCTCACAGTATAATTCTGTCACGTTGGTGAACAAAAAAAACCAAAAGCACATTAGAAAAGCAATACGTACTTTTTTGTAATTTTAGATAATGGTGTTCTTTTTAATCAACAATTTAAAATGTGTCTAATTTAACTTGCAAGTTTGCATCTTACCGTTTATTATTACACCTTCTGTATGTACTAGCTGGCAATGCTTACTCAATATATATAGCAGTAAAAACAAGTCAGGTGGATTATGTAAAAATATCAAATCCTATTTATGTGTGGTTATGTGCTCAGAAGCAAGAATTAAAATGAATGTTCTAGGAAAATATTTGAGTGTGCCAGATCCAAACACACAGACATTGTTTTTCTTGTATTCAGAATTACCGTATGGCTCTCATTTTTTCTAATTAAATTTGACTTAACCAGGAACAGTGGCCCACTGGCATCTACTATATATAATTTATAGGAAGCTGAGGTACAATTGTGATGTATCAGGTTATCCAAACACAGTACAGGAGACAAATTACTTGATCATAACATAAACCTTCTCTGCAAGGATGGGTTAATACTGTCTGAAAGGTTGCATATTTAAATTCCATAGAGCCACTTCTGATGATAAAAGGTTCCACCCAGAAAGTGCTCTGTGGGCAAATATCTGTTCTTCAGTTTCCAGCATGCTAAACTTTTGGAACCCCCCAAACTGGGCAGATTTAAATCTGTGCAGTAATTTAGCTGCCAGATTTTTCCTGTGTAGTCTGAGTGACTTGCCACCATCAGAGAAGCTAGGGCTCCTCCTTGAAGTATACAGCCCTTTGGGCCCTGCTGGGAATCCAGCACCGTCTGCAGTGCATACATAAGGCAAATCTTTCCTACGTTCCAGTGGCCCAAGCATAGCAATTACAGACCACTCTGCCTTCCTCTTTCAAAGCACGTACGGTATGTCTCAGAGGCCCTTCCTCTGGAACAGGCAAAGCCAAAGGTTTCCATCCTGCAGGGTACTGAGAACGTCCTGTGAGATACTGAGCATTTTCAACTCCCACTGAATGCAGCATCTCACAGGAAATACTCAGCACCTTGCAGAATCAAGCCATAAATCCCTATCCCTGCAAACATCTTTCCAGTCTCATTACCCCTTCCCCATTAAGACCAAAAATTAACAAGCCTTGATGTGAGATTTCTTCCATTGGAAGAGCTTTTCCATTGACTTCAATGGGCCTGGGATCAGGCCCTGATTGTGCACAACCATTCAAGTTGTGTGCAGCATGAAGTCAGTGAGACTGGATCCAGTAGCACTTACTACAAATAAAATGTACTGTTTTGCTAACATCCTCGTTTTTATTTCTAAACAAAACCTAATCATGATCTAACTTTTTTGGCTTAAGTGTAAGTCACATTATAGCATATTATTAAGTCTCATTTGAGTCACCCCATCCCCTTCCCTTGCATTTGCAATGCATATCAAAATAATTTCCAAGACTGACTGCGTGATCCTGTTGTCCTCATTTGAACAAAACTCTCAACGGCTTAGGTGGGAGTTTTGCTGAAGTAAGGAAAAGAGGATCCTGTCCTTTGTTCTTTTTCATTATTCAGATGTTTTCACATTGAAATCTACTGTATAATTCTCTTTATTTCTTTCATGGTTCTTAATCAGAAGCAATATGTATGGTCATCATCCCATACATTTGTCTCTCATTTTACTGTATCCGAAAATGAATTTACCTCCTTTATGTGTGAATAAAAGTCAGATTTGAATTTACCTGCATTTGTTCTTATACCTATTTTCCTTCTCCATTGGGACAGAAAATTAGATCACACATTTTACTAGTGAACTAGTTCTCTTTATGGTAAATGGGGGTGCAGTTATGGTGAAATTACCCATTGCCTCACCACACATTGCAGTCAATGAAAAGATTCTTCTTGACTCCAGTGGGAGCTGAATCAGACCCATGTTTAATACGGTACAAGGGGGCCTTTTGTGAACCCTTTGTATTTAGGTGAGTTTTAGTCTTAATTACTATAGGGAAACTGAATTACACAGGTTACAGAATACGAGGAAAAACCTCTAAGCTCTGTTACCTCCAACACATTTTGATGGGATGACAAAGTCCCTTTTTAGAGGCAAGCAGGTCTCCAGTGGATACATGATGAGAAACTTTATAAAATGATTAAACAATGCCAGGATTACTAACACAAATCCTGGAATTTGAGAGGTAATCAATACACTACACTAACTCTTCAAGTTTTAAACAAACACAAAATCAATTTAAAAAACAAGCTGAGTTGTCCAAATACCACTAGCAGTTACGCTACATGAGGCAGATCCATAGCAGCCAAAGCAAAATGAAAGGATGTTTTCAGAAGTGAAGGTTAGAGAAGTATCCTTGACTTGCAGTAGGAGCTTGTCAAAGACTGAGAAGAGTAATGAGAAAGGAACACAAAGGGCCACCAAACACAGATAAATAGGTAGCGGTATATTGTTCATTTATACAGCACTGAATGAAGTATATGAGTGCCTTGCAAGTTTATCTATCTGCCACGATCAGGCTTTAAAAAGAAAGTGCAGATAGATAAAGAAGAAAAAGCTAAATAGATTCAAAACCAAAGTTATAAATGAACAATGGTCCTGAACCTCCATCTAAATATCTCAGAACTCTGGGAAAGTTCAAATCTGGATTGAACCTCTAACAAAAAACTACAGAAAGAGTCAGGCAGTCAAAATCTAACTAATGCTAATGTACAAATATAAGCTGGCCTATAAAATTTGGTAAATCATTTGTGTCAAACCAAGTACTTTAGTTCTTCAGTATTTGAATGGTTTAATCAAAATTCTGGAATTAATTGTCTTTTGCCATTATATCACCACAATGCTCTCCTCACTGGAATGAAGAAGGGGACTCACTGAGGTACAAGTGTACCAATAAAAGCAAAGGAATTCAGGGGGAAATCTGCCAAACTCCTTAACTCATGCTGCAGCACCTACAGGTTTCAGTACATATGCTACATAAAATCATGCATTGTTTTAGATATTTCTTCAGAACACAGGCGGTTAGAATTGTTATGGTCTCAATAGGAAACTATTAGATTTACCAAGGAGGAGAAAAAGGAATGAATCTAGTAGTCTGAGTCCATCACCAAGAGACAGGGGCTCCTCAGGCCAAAGTCAGCCCTGGTGAAAATGACAGTCATTCCACTGAAGTGACTGCAATTGCGTCAGAGCTGAATTTGGCTTGTGTATTGTAGGCTTAGATCTGACATTGATTCTAACTGTGGCCTATGTCACACTCTCAGGGAAAGTGTGCTGTGGGGAGTTCTGTGTGTCAACAGGTTGTGTGCATGGAAGGAAGTGTGCTAAGAATGAACGTGGAAGGGACTTTAAGTTCTGAGAAGGGAAACAAGTTTGGCTCTAGCTATTACACGAGAGTGTCCTCTGGGAAAATCACAGAGAAAGGGGATGTGTTTGTACTTTAATCAAGTTCAGCTCTTGAATTCTAAAGACTGATCCAAATATTTTCTGTAGCATAAATAAAGCCAGACAAGAGGGGGACTGGGGTCAGGATCATTAAAGACTAAATGCATGCTCAACAGTTATCTTCCAGCAGAGCACCATTTCCAGACACTAAAGAGTCACCTCCCAGAAGGACCTAAATCTTAATCAATAACAAGAAACAAGCTTTTGATCTCCTCACTGTTGGAGCTTACTACTCAAAGGGATGGAGTAACTACCCAGAGGCTTGCAGGCCTGGCTGATACCTGAAAGGGTACAAAGAACTGAATTATCTTTAACCTGAGATATTGCCATTAAGTATTACCCAATAACCATATTGAATAAATTATTCTGTAACAGGAGAATAAAAGAAAGGAATTTAGCTAGCAGTACTAAAAATGTATACTATAATGCTTTATTAAATTCATCCCAAGAGTATTGTCAGAAGACTCAACTTCATTGAAAGTGATGGAGTTATGTCATGTACGAATTCAGCCTATAATTGTGACAGCATCAAAACACAAACAATTGTGATTTATGTATTTTAGTGTTTGTTTCTTTGTCATATTTTTTCCACTGTCCAGTTAAGGCAGAGTTAAGGTTGTTTGCATGCCCTACTTGTGCATTTCCACACCTTAACCTGTTCGAATTTATTTTAAAACGTAACTTTAACTTACTCTGTACTTCCTCAGGTTACAAAATTTGCTTCTGGGATAAACATCATGTATTCTCCCTAAATAACAGATTGTACTCTCAACCTTAACTCCATTTTAATATGTTTTTTGGTCTGGGAATTTCCTTATTTAATTTTTTTTTAAAATGTCATAGATTTAATACTGAACAAAACAACCCAAAGCGAATATTGCTGTGGGATATTTCTAATGTTTTGAAGATAGGCAGTATCAGCCTAAAATAATTTTTTAATATTTTCACTTTTAGGGCCAGATTCTCCAGTACATTCTGTCTTACTTTACCCTTTTGGGGAGCAGTGCACAGCAACCAGTGCCTACAGGTTAATTAAGCATGGTTTACAGTTACTTTCCATACCCAGAACAGCACAGAATGTACTGGGTGTGGGGGAGAGTTGAGGAGAGAGGGAGAAACTGTGGGTGGGTGGAGGGCAGGACAGTCTTTGGGGAAGGAGGCTGTGTTAGGGAAACTGGCACTAAATGATGGAAATCAGGGAAGTCGGGGGTGTGGGGGAGAAGGGGCATGAAAGTGCAGTCCCTGAAAATCTTGTGTCTCTGTGGTTTAAGGATTCCCCCTGTTCCCCTGTCTCAGCTCTCCCCAGCAGTGCATAATGAATCCAGTGCAGCAATGTCACAGGAGTCTTTCAAACACTGGTGCCCAAGCTAGCGTGCAGCAATTGAGCCATGGTAGTTGGGGCCAAGCAACCTATGAATGAAAACTTTTGACATGAGAATCTGGTCTCTCTCATGTCACTGACCTCTTACAACTGTTCCTTCCTTGGCTGAGTGGTAGCCAGATTTCGGAGTCCTGCAGGTCAGTTTCCCAGTTGGAGCAGCAATTGGTGACCCAGTCAAGAAGTATTTTCTTAGTGTAATTTATTTACAAAATGGCACCAGTCCTCTCTCCCTGAACAGCAGCAAGCACTAGCTGCCCACAGGCAGCCTCCTTTTGCAGGAATCCCAGATCAGGAACCACTGTCTTGTCCAAAGAAGGAGGTATTCTTAGCCTCACAGCCAAGCAGACTGCTTCCTTCCACAGACCACCCCAAACTTGAACTGACTACTCAGCAGGCAGTTTGGTTCCAGCAATGGAATTTGAAACCTAGGAAAAGCCTGTTAGCTCCAAAATGCCTCTCAGATTGCATGTGGTATCTCCACACTAACACTTGGCCCTGGGAGTCAGCCCCACTTCTTTATGTGAAGCTGCTTTACACTGCAAAAGGGCCTAAACTGCTCCTATTGATGAGCACAAAGGAAAGTGCTTTAGTATATACTCGTTCACCTGAGCGGTTCTGTGATTGGCTTTGCATCCAGGATCCCAAATGGCGGGCCACCTCGTTCATAACAACAAACGAAGAATTACATGAGAGCTGGTTCCTTTTGTTTCAAATTTCTGACACAAATGGGAATAAACTTTTGTGACCATTTAAAAAAAAAAATTTTCTACTTTTTGACCAGCTGCAGAGTTGATTTAAATGTTTTTAAACTAGAAATGTCAATGAAGAAAACAGAAACATTCAAATGCTGACAAAAGGGAAAAAAAGTTCCTCCTCTCCTCAATTTCTGACCAATTCCTGTAATACACACAGACACTCTCTCTCTCTCTCTCTCTCTCTCTCTCTCACTCACACACACACACACAGAGTGAGAGGAAAGGGCAGTCACAAATGCAAACCTTCTTCTTTTTGATGGCCTTGTGGGGCAGAATCTATTATAATCTCAGCGCACCCAAAACTCCAAAGCAAGGCTTGCAAAATGGCATCAGAATGGGAATATGACAATAACCATTGCTTTTTAAATGAGGTTGAAATGAAATAAATTGGTTAGTCTCTAAGGTGCCACAAGTACTCCTTTTCTTTTTGCGAATACAGACTAACACGGCTGTTACTCTGAAACCTGTTGAAATGTTTGCGAGTTGTAATAAGATTTTCTTCCTGTAGACATCACCAATGTCTGGGTTTTTTCCCAGCAAAATGTAGGGTCACTCTGACAAAGATATGCCTCCCTTTGTGAGAAGAATTGTTCTATATGTTCCTGGGAAGTTGAATCTTCTCTCAGTACAATCCCAGGACAGGTCTCATCAATAGTGATGTGAGCTACAGGTCCATAACCATGAAAAAGAATCTTATGTGATATTTCAACTCTTACACGTCTCTCTTTCTTCTCCACTCTCCATCTCTTCTCCCACCACCTCTCTTCCATGGCTCTGTCCCCTTTTTCCATCTTTCTGTGTGAAAGCTTTCCTCATACTTCTCTCACATTCCCCATCCCACTCCATTTCTCCCTTGCTTCGGCTTTTAGACTGCCTGCCCCTCACCAGGGTATCTGGACACCTCTCTCTGCCTCTCATCTAGCTTGCCAGACCTTTCAGGGTGCAGCAGTGGCTGTGGATTGACTACATGGCCAGGGAGAAGTAATTTGTTCCCCTCTGTCCTGAAACAACCCCAGCCACCTAAACCTCCCTTGTACTCGGGAGTTGGTATTTCATACCTTGGAGACTGGTTTGGACTGAGCATTTATTTCACTATTGTTCTGCAGCAGGGGAAATTCCCCCTCCCCCCACACTCTCAGGGCACAAAATTT